CCAATGCCCCAAACTGACTGGAAGGATTGCCTCGCATGAAAACAATTTTTCTTTGCGACCAAATGCTTAAAGCAACAGTCCCAGCAGTTTTTACCTTCGACACTAATGGTGTGGAACGATGCGCTAGCCCTAGTCAAGAACATAAGAAGTGTGACTGAACAAAAAACTCACCTTGGAAAGCCGCTAGAAAGGGAGCTGAACAGCTTCGAAGTGGGCGTGGTTGTGCAGTCCCCTCGGCCGATTCCAACCACGCCCACTTCGAAGCCGTTCAGCTCCCTTTCTAGCGGCTTTCCAAGGTGAGTTTTTTGTTCAGTCACACTTCTTATGTTCTTGACTAGGGCTAGCGCATCGTTCCACACCATTAGTGTCGAAGGTAAAAACCCTGCTGGGACTGTTGCTTTAAAATACACAAAGAACGATTGTGGTGCTATCGCAAGATATAGGGCGTCCTCTAGAATCAAGCCTAGGAGGGTGGACAAGTTTCGGGGAAACGAAAATTGCTCACGCACCTTGGATTTTCTCCTCCTCCGCCTAAGGCTTAGTCCATTTTTAACAAAAAGAAGATGTTTTACGTGATTTTGAATGCATGCCACAACAATGCCCCCGTATCTTGCGATAGCGTCACGGCTGTCTTTAGAAACATCGTCCTGCAATTCCAGTGAGTAAACTGTAGCATAGGCTTTCGATCATGAAATTCTGAAGATTTCCTGGAACAGCGTTTTGATATCGACGCTCATCGAAGGTCAAGACTAAACAATAATAACCACAGTATCCGTACTGGGATTATAATCGATACCGTTGCAAAAATGGCCTGGCCAAGAAAAAATCAGAGAAACAGTCAGAAGCCCAAAAAACATACCCTTCATGACCATAGGTTCCAGACTTGGATGAGCCAACGGTATTGAGTGAAATCAACTTCCTCATTGAAGTGAAGAAGATAAAAGACAGGAAATAACAAGATTAGACAAGTCCTCGCCACGTCTTTCAGGGGCCACATGCGCCACAACCCCGGGGCTAAGCCTCCTAGCCAGCGATGGATGGGAGGGGAGCCGTCGGACATGTGCTAGATACGGTCCCAGTGATGAGCAAATTGAGTCTTGATGGGATGGGCGTTTTTGAGTCCCTCAATGCCCTAGGCAGCATTGAAAGTTGGTGATCGTACATGCGGTTCGAAGATGATTCGTAAAGAAAGATGTGTATCGATTAGCCGAGTTGGCGATGAGAAAAGGATAGCTATTGATTCGTTTGCTTCGCTCTCTGAGCGCCTAATCGCCTACCTGCCTACTCGCCTAATCGCTACAATCGCCAACTTTGAACGCTGCCTTAGGCAAAGCTCTCGTGTAAGGCTAGTCGACGATCCAGTGATTCCACTGATTTGAATAAATAAGAAGCGATCAAAAGGAACGCCGAATCGCCAAGTGCCACCAGATCGACACACATACTTCTTTGCCGCGTTCACATTTCGCAACTTGCAAGATTGGTGAATTGGCGATAGAGGGGTTAGTAATTGGACATAAAAGATTTCGAGGTGCTATCGCAAGATACAGGGGCATCCTTTAGAACTAGGCCCACAGGGAAGTGGGCGAGTGCAGGAACTTCGGAAAAATGAAACTTGCTCACGCATCCTGGATTCCCATCTCCCCCTCCTCAGAATAAGGCCCATTAATATCAAGAAGGAGATGTTTCACGTGGGTGCCTTGCCACAACAATGCCTCTGTTTTCTTGCGAAGCGCCGTTTTTGTCATTAGGCATCTCCATCCAAGCCGATTAACATGTCTA